ATATGCATGCATATATGCAGGCCCTCAGATAAATGTCATACATCATAAAATTGCAAAATCTTTTTTTTTTTTTTTAATACCACATATTTTAGCAGAAAACATTTTCCATTGGTTCTTGGAAGCAAACTAACCAACCTAATAATTTGTCCATACTTTTTAACACGAACATAAAATGATGTCATATGCTTTGCTTCTATTTTGCCTCATCTATTGCATGACATTTTGGAACTAGCAGTTGTCTCTCAAAGGATTTTCTATTTAAGATATAAGAACACGTAGAAGATAGGTATTTCATCTTTATAGTATGCAAAGAACACTGTAAATTAATATGAATCTAAAGGGGAAAAAACTCAAAATTGGATAATATTCAATTTCAATTTTTTAAAACAAACTTTTCTTTTATTATAAAATATAATTACCTGACCTCCTTAGACTGGCATTTCTCTTTTCAAACAAAGAGGCAAACATAGAGATATTTTCAGGTACATTCACCATCTATCTGCACTCACAGAAAACTGCAGACTATCTGTTAGCGTTTAAATTCTCCAGCAGGCTGAGGATACTTTTATTCTCATTAATGCTTACCTCTGTATTCTCATTGCTATGGAGAGGAGGCTAGTGAAAAGGTGGGTGAGAAGATGTCACTTTTATCATTTTTATTCAGATCACCTCTTCTTTTATTTATGAATACTTTCTTCTGAAGTCAGTTGAGAATGTTATTCTCTGTGCAACACATTGGTTTGTTTTAAGGTGACTGTAAAAATAGCATAATTGGCTTTCTTTTTTATTGCCAGAAAACATTTTGGTCCAAAATAAGTTTTGCTGTTTTGTTTTAAGAAAAACAAAATAAATCCATGTGTAGAACTAAGGGGATTTAAGTCCACCTCTTAGAGCTCAGTAGATTTTGTCTTGTTGTTATATGCTAGGACTATGGAGTGTTTCAGAAATAATTCAGCAAAGGTTTCCAGGGCACACAAAATTTGCATCTTTTTTCAGAACTGTATTGCTGCCCTTTGCAGCTGCTCTGTGGTCCTGCAAAAAGATGTGGGGGCTTTAAAGAGTTGCAGACAGGTGCTATGTTTATGCCCCCACATGCTCCAAAATACCTTTCTTTGGAAATGAGTTTGCAGCATTTCATCATCTTAATATGCATATTATATAGCAAGGACCATAGCTCACTAGCAAAACATCTGCTTTGCATACATAAAATCCCCATGTTGTTTCCTTGTTACAAGGGATATTTGAGCTCATCTTTATTTTTTTGTTTTATTTTTGGTCAGAGGAGATTTTGGTCAGATCTTTCAAAAGGTCAGTATTCCCATTGGCAATACTTTTTAAAAAATATTAAACCTACTTTGCACATAATTCAGGGCAGGATACGTTATCAATAACAGTAAAAATCAACAAGGACCACATAATAAAACAAAAAATTAAAAAAACACAATGCAAAATAACAACATAGGTACGCATACGTGCTGGAAGGAAAAAAGAAAGAAAGCTCACCCAGCAGGTCAACCACTCCCACACTCAATATCTGGGAAAACAAAAAAACAAAACAGATATTTAAAGGCAGGCTGACTAACTGACTTTGGTGTGGGGATGCTTCTCAACCCATTGGAGAAACTCTTGTGAGCAGAACACAAACTGCGTTTGAGTCTTAGGTTTCTTCAGGTGCCCCACTATCTTGCTTCAAAGTGGAGTGGAATCCATAAGTTGTGGACATGTGTCAAGGTGCTTCCTCCTCCTTCTCATTCTCTACCAGCTGCTATGCTCATTTGGTAACATCTGTCATTTCAGAAAGGGTTTATTTTGATCCCCAATTTTATGTGTCTCTGCTTCATTTTCCTTTTCTGTATTTTGTTTGTATTTACAGCAGCAGCAGCAGACTCATTTCTCGAGTAGCTGAATGAGAGAGGGATTGAGATCTAGCCACAAAAATGTGTTTGCTCCCGGAGTTGCTCTTCACAGAGATGGGAGGGGCAGCCTTAGTTGGGAGAAGGTGCCTCCTTTTCCCTCCCCTTCCTCACACCCATCATGTGTTTGTCACTGCCAAGTGGAGAGAGAACTGCTGCTTCCCAAGAAGAGTGACAGCCATTAGGAACAAGGCAGACTTCTGCCTCTAGCATTAACTTGATATGATGGGTCTAGAAGATGCTAGAAAACCCTACTTCTGAAGTGCAGCAAGATGGGAATCAGCTGCTTTCATGGCAGGCCATGGGTAGGTTCGGGATGATGTTATATATTCATATCCTTAACAAATGCTTAGTGAGCTATCTTTATCCTACAGCAAGTGGGATGTGCACATGAATCTATAATATGCTTTGAAAAAAGTACAGGCTCATTCTTATAGTCTAACACAGAAAAAGCACAAATAGCTGTAACTTCTTTGTTTTTGTTTTTCAGCAAGAATGAAACTTGCAGAAGACAGTGACCTTTATGAGGAGGTGATAAACTTCAAATTTCCTAAAAAGAGCAGAGGTTTTTAACTACAAGTTTTAAAATTTGATATTGTTTAATGGTTGTCACTTTGTTGTTTGGGGAACAGAATCTGATAAAATTTGCAGCAGTTATCAAATTTTGGACACATACAGTATGTTTAGGAGGAATAGGGCACTGCTGATGCGCTATTCTAGTTTGTACAGAAAAATAACACCCTTTTCTGAATGCAGTGTGGGTGATTGGCAGGGGTTGTGTGGAAATATGAACCTACTGGTCTTTTTTGATTAAACCAGTTCCTCCTAGATCAGGTCTGCTAGTAAATGTTGGTCCAAAGATACTCGGGAAAAAGGACTAAACAGCAGTGAGCTGAAATGGTGGACTATATGATTCAAGTTAGGATCTCTTCCTCTGCTCTTACCTCCAATTTTGGCAGCCAGTTAAGATGTTGTGATTGGAGCAAAGTCATGATGGTGGTTTGAGTCAAAAGTGCTAGAGATTTGAAGAACAAATTGTGACTGGAGTTTTGTTGTGGTCCAGATTGGAATGGAGCATGTTCATGCCCATACATTCTCCCACCAGTAAATGAACATTTATTCCAGATTATTCAGCTGCACCTCAGATTTTGGGCAACTGTCAGATCTGATCCATATATACAGTACATGTATCTATGGCAAGTTCTCTTTACTAACAATGTATTTATTTCACACTAGCCAGTCATAGAACTTACGGTACTGAATTTAAAAATCACCTGTATTAAAGTGGAAGGAACGTTGGCCACATTATCCAGTTCCATAAGACAAAGAACCATTTAATTAGACTTCCTTCTCAGCAGACATGCTGAAGCTTGCATTATTATTGAGTTACTTGTATTTCATTCCGGGCATGTGGAGTGAAGGCTTTCCATCTTAAAATCCTGGCTCTTTTATTTGGTTGCTTTGAAAATCTCATCACTGGTTATATTGTTTAAAAGTTGTCTGTTTAAAACACTGGCACCTTAATATAGCAAACAACTAGAGAAGGAGTAAGATTATTTAAGGCACATTCTTATGGAAACTACTTATTTCAGTACAGCTGGCTGTTATGGGAGTTATATTATACAGTTAGAAAAAAGGAAACCCAGCACTTCACAAGCCAAATAAAATAAAATAATAAAATAAAATATCCTTGTGGGCAATAATTGCCCTGTATATATTTGCTCATATTCTTACAATATTTTCTGCACCTAAAAATATAATCAAAGAATTTGTTTAATATTTAATACTAGCAATTAAAGAAAACAATAAATTTTAGAGAACTAATTACTTTATACTGAATTAAGTTAAATTACATGATCTTGGCAAAAATTTATGAGGCTATATTTTTGTTCCTGCAGGATAAATTATAAATCCAAAGGGCCAAGAAGACTATCCTAATGAGTGAGGAAAAAGAATGTTCCAGAAGACATTGAAAAGCCTAGACTCTGCTGCTCAAAGAGTAAGGATAACAACAATTCCACAGTGCATTATTCTTCTGCAAATAGTATTTTGTACCCTAATCTTTCTGATCTTTCTAATCAATATATCTATGCCACTTTTTTTAGAGAGGTGACAGTTAAAAACAAAACAAAACCCTCAGCAGTTTCTTGTCTATGCAATATGGAAGGTACTTCCATGTATACAGAATTGAATAAAACAAATAAACATAAAACTGTAAAGCAAACTGTAAACCATAAAAGAAAATAGCAAACAAAATTCACAACCAGTAAAATCCAAAGACTTGAATGAATCTCCATGGCCTAAGTTAATACAAAAATAATATCAGCAGAGGCAGGTCTTTAGAAGAAGGACATCACTCAAGGATGTTTACCGGGCCCTCAATTCAAAATAATTTGGTACAATTTTTTTTAAAAAATTAACTAAATAGTTATGCCACATTGATCAGTCTGCCTATTATCAGGACTACCAGTTATGCTATAAGGCTTAGACTTAGAGATACTTTTAAATAGCAAAAGAGAGAGTTACGTTCTCAGACTTAGAAGGAAACTAGGAGCCATCAAAACCATATGCAGATGCAGACAAAAGCAGGAGGCTTCTTTCCCCCTTTCCAGTCCTCTCTACCAAAAGAACACCAGGAAAGACTCAAGGGTTTATGTCCCCCTAACAGCTTATAAATAGGTCATCTGAAAGGAAATCACCATGTCAATTCTTGGAGTCTTACCTTACACTTTCTCTCTAATAAGTATCATGATCAGAGCTATTTTCAGACTTGTTTATTGGATTAAGTGTCTTCCTTCCTAAATTGTGTGAAGGAAGTTTGACACATAGTACAAAGCTATTCCAAAGTAACACATCTAGAGCTATGCAGTATTTGAATTTGAAGTGAGCCAAGGTGCTTTGGATCTAGTATGGACCTTCTCTCTGTACCTGCTGTCAGGTCCCAAGATAAGGTAAGAAAAGATGATTTTCTGTTAAAGGAATGATGCACAACTTAATTTCTTATATTTTCCTTACTTTCAGCCCTGGAAAATCAGCTTTATCATTTTCAGGGAAGGGCAACATTATTCTTTGACACCAACACATCCCAATTTTGCAAAAAAACCCCAACCTACTTACCTATAGTTTTGTCCACAGGTATTTTTCACTATAGGATCAATTTTCATGTCCAAATTAATTTCATTCCATCTCAGACAAAAAATTATGGGTAACATCAGAATTTAAGGGAACATAGTCTGAAAACCTCTACTGATTGTTATGAAAATTGGCATATTTCGTTTTTTAATAGCTATCTAGCTCTCCAGAAAATTTGATTCCTTTATAATGAAGAAAGAAAGTGTTTGGGTGACTAATAAACAGATTTTAAGGATATGTAGATCAACAGACCCTAAATACATTTTGATGAAATTTGGATGATATCTACCTGCTATAATGTGCAAACTTTTTCTTCCTACATAAAACAAAAAGTTATAGCCATTTATTATTAAATAATGGTAATGTAGAGCCTCAGTCCAAGGACTGAATTTAAATGGATCTCCCTACAATGATCCAGAGCTGATTAGATCATTCATACCTCCAAATTAATCCCTGAAAATGGATTGGGCAGTCTCTGTCCAACAATTCTATTTTAACTCCTTTATGTGTGTGTCAGCACAGAAAAACAGTATAAACAGTAGACTATAGGGATGTGCAAACCATGCTGTTCAAGCAATAGAATATTCCCTGAATGGACTAAGTAACTTTTCTCCTTTTAACTGATCTCTGTGTGTGTTAAAAATGAAAGATATAATTTCAGATTTGAAAGATTCTTTGAACAATTATTTCCATTTTTGTATTAGCTATTCCGCTATTAAAGCACAGTGCTAGGTTCATGGCACATCTTTGGTTCTCACATCCATCTATACATTTGTACATCATATCTGGAGTACAGATATGAGTAGAAGATGCACAATAGCAGTTATGTTGTGCTTTAAATGTTGCAATAGAAGATATTTCTATGTTTATAAGGTACGTCCCCCCCACTCAGCACTGTGTTGTGGAAGTACAGATAGTCCTAATTTACTGCCACTTGTTCAGTGACTGTTCAAAGTTACAGTGGTATTGAAAAAGTAACTTTATGGCCAATTTATGACCATTTATGACCTTTGCAGCATCCCTCAGTCACGTAATCACCATCACACATTGAAAGCAATATGATTGTGCCATCAGCCTAGGGCTGGGAGCCACGGGCATGTTATACAAACAGCTTACAGTATCCTCTTGCAATCTCTTCTCCTATCTCTCCTATTTCTCCCCCACCCCACCCCACCCCACCCCCCACAGAATGGAGAGATTGGAGAGGGGTTTCAAGAGAGCAAGCTATTTGCTCTTCTACACATTGATACCAGTGCAATCATGCTAGCAGCGGGAAAGGGTCAGGCAAAGGAGAGATTGCCCACAGAAATCACTTGCTTCCCCTCCCCCCACCCTTGCAGAGCAGAGAGATTGGAGAGGAAGAGATTTCAAGAGAGTACTATAAGCTTTTGCGTATCATCCCTGTATTTTGGAGTGATCACACTGCTTCTGATGTGTAGAAGAGTAAGCAGGCACTCAGGCATTCCAAAGGGCGGGGGAGTGGTTAGGAGGCAAACAAAAGCCAGAGGTATGAAACTGAGTACAGTAGTCTTGTCTCTTTCTGGCTGGAATGCACAGTCAGGGTCACATGATCTCCCACTTAACAACAGCTTCACTTAGTAGTGGAGTTGCTGGTTCCAGTTAGGGTCATTAAGAGAGGACTATCTGTAGAACATCAGAAATCTGTCACACATATTTTCAAATAAAGTGGCATCATCAACCAAAATGGATTTTGCATTGGCACAAATAGGCACATAATTCATGGGACATCACCAAATAATTCTCAGTTCAAAAACTGCATACTAAAAGGAGAAAAAAAAATGTCTACATTAAGAGAAGTTGTATAACAAATGGATATATATAGAAAGCTGCATACAAGATGAATACAAAATATTATTTGAAATAGTTCTATATGATAACAAATGTAGGTGTTCTTATCCATATTTGTATTATATTTTAGAAAATATAATGGTGTAGAGCTTTATTTCATCTTACTGTTTAAGATATTTCTATAAAATATTTATATCTTAAAGAAAGGCCTTGGAGCATTACTTTGAAAAAGTGCTAGTGCAGTATAATGGTTGGAGTGATGGCCTAAACAGTCAGTATCTTTCCGATCAACCCACTCCACAGGTATCCTGTGAATGAAAGATAGGAGAGAACCAAATGTCATTTTGCGCTCCTGGGTGAAATGTGGGATATCAATCTAATAAGTAAATTAATGAGTAACAAATAAATACAAAAGGCTCATGATTATCTATTTTTCTCCCTATCTCTTTGGTAGCCATATCCCTGTCACATGTACAATGTTGTCTTTGAACAAGCATTTTTGTGTGGCAAATTTCCAAAAACTTTCTTTAGCCCAGTCACATTTTTTCTGCTTCACTTCAGAGAAGCCAGAACTTCTGGCCAAGATAGTACTGTAGTTAGATAGCTATGGGCAGCCTCTGACATCCACCTGCAATTTTTATTTTGATAATTATTTGTTTGCTATACAGGTAGTCCTCATTTAGTAACCACAATTGGGACCAGCAACCTGGTCGCTAAATAAAACCATGACTGTACTTATAATCCTACTTCAGCTTTTCTTTGCGTATAGACCTGCAAAGGTCATAAATGTGAGGATTGATCATAAAGTTGCTTTTTCTTCATCGTCATAACTGCGAATGATTGCTAAACAAGGCAGTCACTAAACAAGGACTACCTGTATCAATAGTTATTGGAGCCAGAAGCAGATCATTACAGTGTGTTCTGACAATCACAGAATGCTTGTTCATTATTTACCTGGGTGGCATGCCAAAAAGTTGTTCTACCTTCTCCCTCCACTAAAACAACAGTGAAATGGTGGCTATTCACCTGGAGATGAGACAAAAGATAAAAGCTGTTAAAGGCATTGTCAGTAAATTCTAGAATGAAAATAGAATATTTGTTTGGAAGACTGTGGGAATTTTGTGGATGTATCTATAATTGATTTATGAAAGATAGTTAAAACTCTTCAGGTCAGGACAAAATAATTTGTCTTGGATCTTACCAGGCTTATATGGATCATCAGAATTCTGGAAGAAGCTGAGAAAGGCCAGCCATGTCATGTTACAGGTCCTTTTCACTGGCTAATAAGCCACGATTATGCATTGTGAAATTCCTTAGATTTACCATAAGCAATAGAAATCTTAAGAAGGCCTGCTTGGTGCATGCTATTGAATGATTAAAACAAAACCCACAACTTCATGTTACATTTTTCCACAATTTACTACAGAAGTCCACAAAAGCAGAAAAAATGTTTAATAATGCATGAAATACTGCTTCAGAGGAATGTTTAGAATTCAGAGAAAATTTAGGTTTCCAGATTTCTTTGTTCTGAAGTTGTAAAATCATTTCATAATCATATAGAAACTGAAAAATATTTTAGTTTCTTAAATTTCTATTAAAAGATGATCTTAATTTTTTCCCCTTATTTTGATATTTCATTTACTTGTATTCAGGCTGGCAGACTTATTTAAGTTTGGTTCTTAATTATACATTCATATTTACTTTTGGATGATCTTTGTTAAAGGGAAATGTAATTGCTTTTGGCTAGATTATTTTCCGATTTCTCATTCCTTAATAAGTAAAGTTAAAGCATGCAATACAGATGCTGTTATAATTTGAGACCATGCTCCTGTGAAGTTTATTGCTCTTTTTCATGAAAATTTACATACATTCTTTATTTTTTCTTGAACATATATTTCCTGACTGTTGATGATTAATTTTGGAAGCAAATGGAACAGGAAATAGTAGAGATTTTTTTTTTCATATTAACACATACTCAGTTACATAACTGTTTTTTTTATGAGGTACTACTATAATATTTATTTGAGATCATATTATATTAAAGGAAGCAACAATTAA